ACTCGCAGCATTCGTCTTCAATATTGCTGCTAGAGAAACAAGTATTGTACAACTCACTAAAGAACATGTGATATTGAATGTATAACTCGACAAATTGCTTACACAAATACGATCAATTCGAGAGACTTATAATTGTGGGAGAGCCATGCTTCGGCACGAACGGTCCGGCTCCATCGGAGTGATACCACGGCCGAGCAGAAAACCAACGTGAATCAAGGCTTGCGTTGTATTTATTTATACCAACAATCCCTGAATAAATTATTGTTTTCGGCTTACTCACGTAGTATTTCGACGAGGAACTCGACTAGTTTCAAGCCATGCTAGAGGCTCATATTCATGAGCAGCATTTCGCGACCCGCGACGCGGCGACTGTCGCGCTGCTACTACTCAGTATCTAGTATGTATCAGTCTCACGAAAGTTACAATACAAATCCCTGAATACCCAACAATCCTCAAATTCCTAATCCCAAAAGGTCGGTAACGCACTTGTAACGCCTCTGGTGTTCCAGGTGTTCATGGGCGACGCCGATTGCTTACCATCAGGTGATCCGTCTGCTTGGTAACCGGCTTATGCCTTAAAAATAACTTACCATTCTTTACAAAATGTCGTTTGGCGGAAAGAATTTTTGATTGACGATATTATATTACTTACATTATTTATTACATATTAAAGAAGGAGATATGGTGTGGAGTCAAAAATGTACGCAAAATCGGTGAAGCCACAAATGCCCCTCCATAAAACTAATATTACACACACAGCTCTGATAAAACAATACTACGAATAAGTGCACACACGCGGCATCGATAACTCAGTAATTCAAATATAAGCCTTATTCTTTAAGCGACAGCGCACATTTTCCTATGATTTACTCACACGAAAACAATTTGTCAATGTGTGTGTTAGGGGTGGGATCTACCAACGCCGTAGTGACTTGACGGTATCGATAGGTGTGCGTTACCCAGGCAAAATGTTTTGCTTTAGAGAGATGAAACTTAAACAAATAATTAGTGTATCATGAGGAGCAATTTGTTTACTAATAGCAAAATTTGTTTGAATTGTAGTTTTTAAGTTATTTAAGAAAAACAAATTTTGCTGGAGTAACGTTTGAAACGTTACCCAGGCAAAATAGTCTTTCAAAAATTAGTTTCAGCACGGAACCAAATACATGAATAGATAGCTTTTGTTGCGTAGTAAATGTTTATAAATAGCAAAATTTGTGTGTGGTATAGTTCTTTAGTTATTTAAGATTTTGCTGCGGTAACGTTTTGGGATTTCCCAGATCTCGAAAACGGCTCAACGCAGAAGTTTGAAAAAAATACCAATAAAAGACCTCAATTTGTTTAAATTTGTTTAATCATTAGTTTTTGATTTGGTTGACGTAAACCAATGTAATTAAATGGTTTCAAAAATCAGAAGAAACGGGTTTGCAAGTAAACCAATACACTTATAACCAAATAAACAGCTGTAAAAAATACCCGTGGTTCGACGCTTGTTTACAGCAGACATTTTAGATTTCATACTTTACACGTTAAGAAGATAAAAACAAATTTGATTTATTTTAGACTGGTCGTACTTTAGCGATCGAATACGCAGTTCCCATAACATTAAGAAACATGGCATACTTTAAACAAATTAAAATGATTCCTGAAAATTCCTTCCTGTTAATTGCAGCTTTGAATTACGGCTCTAATGAAAGTTATCTCAAAAACAAGATTATGTCAGCAATTCTCTAATGAGCCGACCAAATTGAAAAGGTCACATAAAAGCGACCGCACCATACATAAGCGCAACCATCTGAAATGAACAGGATAATATAGATGTTTTGTTAGTACAGTTGAATACAAAAGTTTTCTGGTCAGGTTAGTTAAAATAATAAAATGGTTAAGATTCATTATTTTTATTTAAAAAATCAGTCTCATACAAATTATATGTATTGCTTTGCCTTAGCATCAACATTTTTAGAGAAAAATCACAGATAAGTTATAACCTACTTACTTAATTTTAATATTTGGATACATTAATAGTTTGTACAATTTTCCTTAGGAGGTACTAATAACGTAGGTTGATAGGTGGACTCCATTTCACCTCGACTCACAGTATGGCATTTTAATTGGCATTAACTAGTAAAAATTGTGTAATATGGTACTGCACTTAAAAAATATTAAAAAATCGGCTTCACGAATAACGTTTTTCTGCTTAACTGTACAAAACATCGGTTACCAAGCTGCTAATTTGCGAAGATTACCCGTACGTACGGTGCAGTCGCTTTTACGTGACCTTTTCAATTTGGTCGGCTTATTAGAGAATTGCTGACATATTCTTGTTTTTGAGATAACTTTCATTAGAGCCGTAATTCAAGGCTGAAATTAACAGGAAGGAATTTTCATGAATCATTTTAATTTGTTTAAAGTATGCCATGTTTCTTAATGTTATGGGAACTGCGTATTCGATCGCTAAAGTACGACCAGTCTAAAATAAATCAAATTTGTTTTTATCTTCTTAACGTGTAAAGTATGAAATCTAAAATGTCTGCTGTAAACAAGCGTCGAACCACGGGTATTTTTTACAGCTGTTTATTTGGTTATAAGTGTATTGGTTTACTTGCAAACCCGTTTCTTCTGATTTTTGAAACCATTTAATTACATTGGTTTACGTCAACCAAATCAAAAACTAATGATTAAACAAATTTAAACAAATTGAGGTCTTTTATTGGTATTTTTTTCAAACTTCTGCGTTGAGCCGTTTTCGAGATCTGGGAAATCCCAAAACGTTACCGCAGCAAAATCTTAAATAACTAAAGAACTATACCACACACAAATTTTGCTATTTATAAACATTTACTACTCAACAAAAGCTATCTATTCATGTATTTGGTTCCGTGCTGAAACTAATTTTTGAAAGACGATTTTGCCTGGGTAACGTTTCAAACGTTACTCCAGCAAAATTTGTTTTTCTTAAATAACTTAAAAACTACAATTCAAACAAATTTTGCTATTAGTAAACAAATTGCTCCTCATGATACACTAATTATTTGTTTAAGTCTCATCTCTCTAAAGCAAAACATTTTGCCTGGGTAACGCACACTATCGATAGCTCCCGATGAATATATCGATAAATTTATTACAAAGGTTTTGGAAATAAAGTAAAAACGACATGAAACCAACAAAATATCATTTAATTATTAAAAATATTTTATTTAAAAAAATATTACAAATCAAACGACAAGTTGTATATAGTTATAATGATATAATTTGGATAAGGAGGTATCGCATTCTTGATTAATTAGTGAAGTTTTAATGTTGTATATTGTATATTTAATCGATTTTTAGTAATTTTATAACTCACTAGCTACTTCCGCGCGATTTCACACGCTCTGCTCAGCTCCTATTAGTCGTAGCGTAATGTTTTACAGCCTATAGCGATCCTCGATAAATGCGCTATCCAACACAAAAAGAATTATTCAAATCGGAACAGTAGTTTCGGAGATTAGCGCGTTCAAAGAAAGAAACAAACTCTTCCGTTTTATATAATAGTAGGTATAAGAGTATAGTATAAGATATAAGATTTTTGTTTGTAAAACCGTTTTTTGCTCCCCAGGTTTGGGTCAAGTAGAATCAAGTCCTGTTTAGTTCAATCAATGGCTGTCAGAAATTAATTGTTCAAGGCAAGGATGTTGAAAAAACTGCTGGACCTCCTCTACATAATAGGGGTTTGCCATATTCATCAAAACCGTTGGAGACCGCAGTTTAAAAGGTTCAGGTTTATCAGGGACAGGGGCGTAGCTAGAGCCGTATCTGCTGTATCAATTATACGGGGCCCCCGGACTGCATGGGCCCCTACCGTGCAAAGCAAAAATGAATAAAAACTTCCCCAACTTTTTTTCTATTTCAATAATCGCAAATGTCAAAATAAACGATTTTTACCCTCGTAAAGCATGCGTTCAAAGGTTGGCAGAAACTTCAGAAAAATAGTAGTTATTAAGATTATCGGTTTTCAAACAAATTATACCTAAGTATATTATGTAAAAAAATCTGTTCTGAGAAATGTTTACCGTTTAAGGGGGGCAAACAAATTTTTATACGACACGCTACGCCACTGATGAGGGAGCTGCTAGGTCTGTGTCAAATGTGTAGTCCATTAGTCTAAGTAGTAGTAAGTGGAAGAGTAAGGGTAGTGACAATGTGTAGGTACAATTAACAACGCATAATATATACATAATTTAATACTTTAATTCTAATGTAGACAATCTAGTTTCCTTATGGCATCGAGCATTTCTTTCTTTATTGAAACAAAGAGTTTCCTTTTTCTTGTATAGAAGCACTATTTCTATGGATTGTCAGTATGCGTATGTGAGCACCATGTTAGACTTAAGATCTTAACATAACA